TACTTTTTTACTTTCACTGTTGCTATTCAGAAGTCAGTTGTCTGTTAACTACATGAAACTTTGAGGGCATTATCTGTGTCTCTTTTAAGGATTTTTTCTTGTCATTGCTGTTCATTGTTAAGAATTTTTACTCTGATGTGTCTAGGCATGGATTTCTTTTTAATTCATCCCGCTTGGGGTTTGATGCAATTATTGAATATATAATTTACACTTTTAAATTTTATCTATTTGTCAACATTATCTCTTCAAAAGTTTTTTCTTCCTCATTTTGTTCTCTCCTTCTAAATGTACATACACTAGATATATATTACATCTTCTGACTCTTGCCTCATTATTTCCTATATTCTTTCTCTCTCTCTCTGCTGCCTCTAGATAATTTCTATGTATCTATATTCCAGTTGACAAATTCTAACTTGCTGTTAATCCTGGTCACTGACTTTTTAATTTCAATGAATCTTAATTTTCATGTGGGTCTGGTTTTTCTGGAATTTGTTATTTCTGCTCTTACTTGTGATGTATTATTTCTTTGTGTATCTCTTGTGATTTTTTTGGTCACCCGTCTTTCCCTTGGAACTTAAGCTTTGTGATTATTCCTAATTATGAGATTAAAGTTTATTATTTAGAAATTTTTCAGATGCCGAGGGACACAAACAATCTAGAACACTTGTGCTACATTTGTAGTGGAAGTTTCCTCATCACCATGAGAGTAACTTTGAGTTACAAACCTATGAGAGAGTCAGCTTGTGTTTATTATTTTAGAGGGAGGATTTTTTTTCTCCTCTTACTGAATACTGAGATTTGAGATAGGCAGTTTAATTTCCTGTCTTCTGGTTAGGTATAGCTGATTGGGGTCCAAGTTTATGTAGAATCGTTTGTTACACTTGCCTACTATTGGTGAATTTTAAGTTTTGTCTCCTCAAACTGTGAGGTTATATTGATCTTCATTTTCATCACATTTAGCAAGTCTTCTAACACAGCAAACTGGCTTTACTGTTCTGCTTACTTTTCTTTGCCTACCGTATCTATTTAGATTTTAGACTGAGACTTTTTTGCTTTCTTAATAGCTCACTTGAAACATTAAAAAAAATGTTAATGACCGGTTTTGGTTATTTTCAGAGGTAAAGATGAGCACACTGTCCGACCAGAAATTTCTGGGAATGAAATTTTTTGTTTCTTCCTAAGTAACTTTTAATCTAATCTATAAATCAATATATGATTATTGTCTATAAGTTATAATGTAACATGATAAAATAATAATGCATAATAATCCCACTATCCAGATATAACCAGTATTGGTGAGCTTTCCAGATTGTTTTCTATCCATTTTAAAAATCACTACAGTCATACTGTTTTGTAATTTACTTTGTTCACTTGACAATAAGTTGTGAATGTTTTTTACATGTCATAATTTTTTAAAAATTCTAGTTGAATTTATCAGGTAAGAGATACTTGGGCAGAGATTATATATGTCATTTTTCTGTTTCCATGAGGACACAACATAGTGCTGGGACTTGTAGAACAAGTCTCATCGAGTTCTGTGTTACAAGTAAAGCTATTTTTGGAAAAACATTTTCATATTTGTAGTAAAAATGTGGAGAATATAAACGATTTATACATGTTAACATAGAAGATACTTCATGCTTGCTATTTCAAGAAGTAAGAAAAAACTGTCACATATCACTATTAAGAAAATAAAACTGTAATAAACATAGCTAACATCTGAGTAGAAGTTAAAAACTGAGGAATAACAAATGTAAAATGATAAACAAAATGTCCTCCTTTATGAGGGAGGCATATTCTATGAAAAAATTATCTAAATAAGGAATCACTTGAATGAACATTGGAACCTACTGTTCTTATGTAGATAAATGTACTTAGTGTAAAGTTTAAAGATTTAGGTAGTTAAAGTTTAATTAAACATCAGAGAACGTTTAATAATACCTGTGATAACTAGAGTATACATAAAGAGATGTGCACTAGGCATATGTTTTACATTCTAATAGTAAAGTAACAGTTAACTTTTTAGTACTGCTTTTGAGTTGATGCAGCCGAAACTTTATCACTACTGAAATGGAACATCAACTAGGATTTAGTACATTGAAGTACAATGATTTCTAGAGTAAGCAATTGTTGAAATATGCTGAAGTATTATAAAAGAATCTTATAGTGATCAATAATCATGTACATGTGAATTACGGGTTAAAACATTCATTTTCAATCAACTTCCCTACAAACAACTTACTAAGATGGGACGTATTTAAAGACTCATGAAAGCATTGTTAAACATTGTGGCAGAAGATTACATGAAAATCTTTTTACTCCAAAATTTTAGACTATCTATTGGCTTCCTTGTGCTAAAAATAATAAAATTGTCTCACTTACAATTCTATCTGTTCCTTCCAATTTTGTCAGTCATAATATCTTATTTGTTGTTCAGTAATTTATAAAAGGTATACTTTTGATTAATTAATTTTAGACAATATTAACTGCTCTTTAGGAAAATAGAATAAATCATGATAATTCCACTTTTTCCAGTCTTCTTTTCCCCTCACCGTTTTTGTTTTTTACATCAGGATTTATGACATCAAATCAGGATTTATGACTCCATCTATATATCCTATAGAAAATTAGATCTGTTTGAAGATGGGTCAGTACCAGTCTTTTTTTTTTTTTTGACAGACTACTTCTTTCATCTTTTGCCTGCTTGTACTACATAGTTCATTAACTCTTTTTAATCTTATTTTTCAAAGAAGGGCTAATGGATGCTGTATTCCCTGAATTCTTTCACATTCAGGAATATCTCTCAGTTGCCTTCATACTTGAAATACAGCTGTGCATTCTGTTGTTAGGTCACATTTTCACTTGCTACTTCATGAACATCGCTCCTTTGCATTTTGATATTGTCTTTTGCTGTGGTTAACCTGGAGGCTAAGTTGATTTTTCTCCCTCATAACTGATTTCTGCCCCAGATACCTGAATAACATTTTCTTTGTCCTTGATCAATAAATTAAGCAAGATATCTGATTGTGAATAAACCCACATAAGTTTTTCTTGGAATATAGTGTCCTTTTCAATTTTCATAGATTATTATTCCTTCATTTCTGGAAAGTTTTCCTCTATATATATATTTGAAAACTTTTTTTGGTCTGGTTCCATTTTTCAATCATAGATGATCCATATTTTGTGACTTTGTCTATCTGTCATTTCTATTATTATTTAATTAGTGTAATCTATGTCTTTTTGTCTTCTGCTTTGCATTTTACTCTCAATGTGATTCTCTCTTTTTGAACAATTCAGTCTTTAGTTCTCTGTCCTGTATAATTTTTTTTCCTAAATTATTAGTTCTGCCATGGTGTTATTTTGGTCGACTTCTTTACCCACATCTTTTGTTTTAGTGTCTTTGAATTCTTGTTACGTTAAGTTTCTTTCAATGTTCTTCCATAGCTCAAAGCATTTTCAACATATTTTCTTCTTTCTTGTGTTTTCTTAAGAATAGAATTCTTACTGTATTAGTTATATATTGTTGTGAAGAGAAGTACCCCCACATTTAGCAGTTTAAACCACAGACGTGTATTACCTCATGTTTTCTGTGGATCAGGTATCTAGAACTGGCTTAGTTGGGTTGTTCAGGCTCAGGGCTCTCACGAGGCTGCAGTGAAGCTGTCAAACAGGACTGCCATCATCTCAAGGCTCAATGAGGCTGAAAGATTTATTTTTAGTCTCACTTTCTCATGGTTGTTGGAAGACCTCGGTTTCACATATTTTTAGATGATTTCCTTTTCTTTTTCTCATTAGGCCAACACACACACACACACACACACAAACACACACACACACACACACACAAATGCATGTCCTCCCCTTCCTCCCTCACTGTTACAGTTAGGCCAGTGTTTTAGAGATCCTGCCAAGTCTCTTTTTTAGCATTTCACTGAATATCACCAGATTGGAATCTCTAATGGGTTGCTGAACTTCAATTTTGAAGTGATTATATAATTAAGTCATTCAAAAGTATATCTCTTAGGTACAACTTTAAAGCTTTGCCTCCCTGTCTCTGTATAGTGTCCCCCACTTTGACTACATAACAAAACCCTTTTGACGGGTGACAGCATCAGGTTTTCTCAAGTTTTTTCTACAACTTAACAACCATTTGGTGGTGGTGGTCAGGATTAAATACAGAATAACAGTTCTATTCAATACTTTCTCTGCTTTTGTCTGCAAATATATTGTTTTAAAATATTACACAAGAAGTATGTTCTCATTTAAATTTTTTAAAAATAGAGATGAATGCATTGTAAGTAGTGAAACTTTCTCTCTCTGCTTACCCTTTCTCTTTCTTACTTTGCAGGGGTAACCACTGTTCCTAGATGCTTATGAATCAACCCGGACCTTATTCTATGCAATACAATTGTAGATGTGCAGATTTAGATTCAGCTACACTCGTTAGCTGAAAGCCTATGTTTGCAACTTAGGTTTTACAGACAGTAGTATATCATGGGCATCCTTCTGTATCAGACTACTTCATATTGAAGATTATACATTTTCGTTTTATAGATACTTGATAACTTACTTAACTATTCCCTTACTAATAGACATTTAACTTTTCTCCTTAACTTTTCTAAAATTAATATGGCAAGGAATCTCTGTATGTATTTCTTGATAGTTGTGTGTGTTACCGTATAGTAGATTCCTAGAAATAGAAATGTTCAAATGTTTCTCAACATCTAAGGCTTGAAATCATGGTAATGTCACCAGATTAGAATCTCTCATGGGTTGTTGAACTTCACTTTTGAAGTGATGCATAAGTAAGTCATTCAAAAATATACCTCTTAGGTACAAGTTTAAATAATAATACATTTTATACACACACATTTTTCAGCTGGTCTAAGTCCTCACTTGATATTGATAAATAGAAAGATGCACTTATTTAGAAAAAATTGAAACTCTAGTGTCTGGAAGAATGTGTGATACAAGTGATCTTGGAAAATTTTGTCTTCCAGGTGGCTTAGAATCTTTGAAAAATCTTCAGCAACTAATTGTGGACCACAATCAGTTAATTAGTACGAAAGGGCTTTGTGATACGCCTACCATTATATACCTGGATTGCTCACATAATCATCTTACTGAAGTTGAGGGCATTGAAAACTGTGGATTGCTCCAAATACTGAAGTTACAGGGAAATTATCTAAGTGAGGTAAATGCTTTGAATTGATTTCTGTGACTAGCACAACAGTTTTCTTTTGATAAATACCAACCACACATTTTAAAAGCAATTGTGTTAAATTTTGTTCTTTTTTACTTATAATCTGTATTCAATTTCTAGCTTAAACTATTATATACTTTATTTTAAAAATGTTCAACATAGTTATAATCTTATAGATAAATCTAATAGTGTTTTATAATACTGAAATGTAATAAATCATCTCTTTAGTTATGATTCAATGTATAAGTGGGACCAAACTTATATAAAATTTGTTTGAAGTACTTTTTATTTTTTTTAAAGTTCTAATTATGAAGTCAATTATTAGAAATTTTACTCATACTAAAATGCTCATAATATTATACTTTGATTATAATATGCAGTTTACCAGAATACATCTGTTGTTAGTTTTGGTAAGTTTTATATTTTTAAATGTGGTTAAATGACAAAAATATTTTACTTAATATAAGCTAATAACCCAAATTTAAATATAGCTTCCATCCTTGGAGAATCATGTTCTACTAAGAGAATTACACTTGGATGATAACAGCATTTCAACTGTGGAAGCTTTTTCTTCATATTGGCTGCCTTTACTACAAGTCCTGACTATTTCTCAAAACAGGTGAAAATGCACTTTGCTTAATCAAGCTTAAATGCAGTGAATGATTAACGTAAATGTGTGATCTTCATAACTAGTAGGAAAGTTGTTAGGTTTTTTCCAGTAATTCAGTGAACTTACATCACAATAAATTAGTACGTTAAATTATAAATATAATTTTATAGTATTAAATAATTAGTGTATTGACATACTCTCAAATTTCAGTAGAATTTTGTTATTTATCCTACTTATTTTGTTTCTTCTAAAAAATGTACTATGGAAATCTCTCAGGGCAGGTTTGTTTATATTTGTAAAGGTACAGTCCTTGGAAAATACAGGAGGTAGTTAATTTAATTCAGAAGGATGCCTCATTCTCTCAAATGGTACTTATTAAGTCCTGGAAGAATGATTTTTAATCTGCTCTCAACTTACATGTCTTTTTGTAACTGCTAAGATTGATTTACATTTGATTTCCCTCAGGATATAAAGTAACACTTAAAAAAATACATTAACATTAAATTGAGATGGGTACCTGCCACAAAAGATCCATTTGAAACTACCAGACATCTGGATCTTTGCAGAGAATAACTGTCTAAAACTGAAACAGGAGCACAATATGTGTATATCTCCCTCCTCGTAATGTATCATTGAGACCTCCTCACTCTAATATGATTAATTTGTTCACCAAAGGCACATGGACTAGTGGAAAGGAACCATCTTTAATAAGAAGTTGCTTCTTTGAGTTATACAATTCTTGCAAAACAAGTGAACAAGGACAGCTCACTTTTAATATGTTTGTCAATTACCCCCCCATAAAATGTAAATTTTTCTCTCAATCTCTGACATAATGGTGCTCATCCTTTGAGCATGCACGTCCCAGAAGACTGAACTTCCACCATTAAACTATTCCACTATTTAACAGATCAAAAACTGAATTGATATTTTAAAATTCCCTCAAATTGTTTTAATCACATCTAAAATATGAAAATTGATATTTATTCCAAAACCAGCATGGTCAGATAATACTGTTTTAGTAATGTGAACCATCACAAACTTATTGGATCTTTTCACAATATTTTTCAGGTAAGGAATACGATTTCAATAGAAATACTCAGCAATGCTTTGGACATTGCTTATAAATTACTCAGTAATTGACATATCTAGCATATTTTATAAAAATAGATCTTAAACCACATTGATGAATATAATAATATTTAAAGAATTTAGAAAATATTTAAATCAAGAACACTGTTTGAGAAATAATGCCTTTTATTTCTTTGGACAATTTAAATCATCAAAGAAATAGTCTGATTTTAAAAATTAAAATTTATACTAGCTGCTAGACTTTTGCCTTATCAATCTGATGTGAATTATATCAATCTGACATCACTAGGAATTTTATAAACCACAGTATTAAATTTTTTTAGAGTTGATAACAATAATTGGAATACTTAAACAAAACAATTCTTAATAATTTTGTTTGCTCAACCTTATAACATTTGAATATTGATGTGGTTGGTGTTTGCTATTATGGGGGATACAAAACTGAGTAATATATGTCCTTACCATCAAAAAACTCTTAGGAATAAATCAAATAATCTATTGAACTTATCTATATAAGACAGTAGTAAAATTATTGTGTAATATGTGGTATGTTGAATTTTTCAATAATATTGTGCATATTTGAATATATTTTTGTGGGTCTCTCAAAGCTCTTTGTGCAAGTAACCTCCTGCCACTTCTGAGAAGATGAAAGGATAAGACCTAAAGAGACCAGGGAAACGTGATTGCTAGAAATGGACATATAGAGGAGAAAAATTATTTCCTAAAATAATAGTGAAAAATAATCTTCAACCTTGGGACTTTTTACAATAAGCTAATACCATTAATTGTAGACATTGCTTATTTTACATCAAGCTTTTACATGTGCTTTGACTTTTTTAGAACTATATTAGGTCTGTAAAATTCAGGGTCAACAGATCTGGGTTTAAATTCTCAATCTACACCTGATCTGTCAGTTGACATTAAGCAACTCTTTTCTCATTACCTGATCCTCATTTTTTTCACACGTGAAAAGGGCAGTAATACCTACCTTACCTATTTTATGGGATTTTAATGATTATCTAAAAGGAAAATGAATAGCAACATATTTTGCAAAACGGAGAAGAATTTTAGAAATGTGATATTTGGGTTTGTTGTTGGTATGTCTTTTAAATTATATATATTTTTCTCTTAATTTTTGATATTTTCATCACAAGGAAGAAATTATGCGTCCATATGCTTTTTTCCCAAGAAATGAAATACATATAAAGAGTGATACTTAGTACATATTGTTTGAAATACTTGTTTCATCCTGACTTCTGTTTTAAATTTTCATTAGGACATGTGACTGTTTTAAGTTTTTCTCAGCGGAGTTCTAACTGGAAGACTCCCCAGCTTCATAAGCCTTTCTACTTCCAGTGAGACTCTAAGTAGGAGCAGAAAGTGGAAACTGTTAGCCACTGGCTGCTCATTGTACAAATCTTTTGCTTTCTGTCGTCTTTGAAATTTATATCTTTTTTATGCCCAGGGCTAATGTGACCAGGTCAAATGGTATTAGGTTTTCGCTAATGTCTTTTGTCTTTCTGGTTTGAATTTTCTTGGAAAAAATATACACAGAATGTCAGTAAAAAGGAAAAGTTCTAGAGGTTTAAGAAAACCGATTCTACTATTAGGTTTCTACCATCCTAATGAATAGTCATAAAGGCAAATGAATAGCCAGTTTTCTTGATAAAAATTTCCAAAAAAGAAAAAAGGGTGTAATTCTAAAAGCATGGTTATCTGAAAAGGTAAAATTTCAATGTTGTAAAAAATATTTAGTCAAACCAAATATTTCTTATTTTGATTTTTGCAAAGGGAGTTTTTATTTTTAATTCTAAAAGCTTATTTTTTTTAACTTAATGTCTATATTACCTAAATGTTACCAAATACCAAATACCAAATATTGCCATATAACTTAGTGGTTAAAAACATAAGATATTCTGGAAAAACAGAAAAACTCATTATCTATTAACTTTTAAAATCCTTTTGGTAGAAGTGCAAAGATTTAGTATTAGAAAAATATTAAAGGTATAAAAGAAATAAGAATTTTCTTGATAATGAAAACATTTATTAGAATTATTTTTTTCACTTGAAGAACTCAAATTTCTTGTAATAATGATATAGAATGTAAAATTAGTACTCAAATCCACTAATTATGTATTGACAAAGTTTTAAGTTTTTCTTTCTTTTTCAGTGTACATGTGACATTTCTGTAAATTTTACTGTTAAGGAGTATGTATATAATAATGAAATGTATATATAAATGTAGTAGCAAATATTTTATCACTTTTTTCTTTAGTACCTTGGATTTTTTTTCTCCTGGAAATTGTTTTCAGAAAGTAGTGTTGTATAGGTCTATTATAAATAGTAATATGGTACTTAGGATTGGTTTCATTCAGAGAGATCTCCCAAACTCATTGTTTAGTCTGTTTTATCATCAGTAGCATCTTCTGTCTCCCTTCTGATGCAGAACATGATAATACAAGAGGAGTCAAGGTCAGTACAAGGGTTAGTTTTGTGCCATGAGGCTTCCAGTCACAGTATTAATCTGTGAGCTTCTGATCTTAGAATAATAGTAATTTTTTTTTTTTACCATGGCAAGGAGTTGGTAGAAATAAAGATATAAAAATCTCTGTCAGGACAATTGGAGGGACAGTATAAAGATCAAGAAAGTAAAAGAAGTGAAAGTTAATGCATATTTTTTGTACCATGAATACTCCTTTAGTGGAAGCATATTTTGAACATATATGGATCTTCAACCTTTATAGGAGTGATTTATAGGGTTGATTCATCCAGAAGACTTGTATTTGTGATGAGAATATATTTTATACAAAGAAATGTTGTCTTGTTTAAAGATATAGATGAGCTAACTTAATTTTTATTTCCAAATAGCTAGGGTAATATGATATTATGTTATAAACTAAGTTTAAACATGTCTTAGTTGGAAGTGCAAATTAAAATAAAGTTAATTTTCCCTTCATAGATTTTATTTCTAATATTGTGAATTATTTTAGTATCACATATGTTCCTTATTTGAACATATTTGGTTCTTAATGACAATTATATTTTACAAAATGAAAGATACTTTTAAAAGTAGGAGAAAAGGTCAATAGTATTAGAATTTAAATATGCTTGCATTAATAATGAGTATTAGCTTTAAGTGTTAAAATTTGCCTATTCTATCTTACATTTAGGTCTCTGCGAAATTTAAGTCTATTCTACCAATATAAAACATTTCTATTATTGTTCTTTAAATGCATATTTCCAATTTAAAAATAACCCAGTGTAACTTCAGACACTTACAGTACTTATAATACTTCCAATCTAGTAAATAAAACCTTTTTTAAATTACAAAACAAAACTAGTGACTCTAATAAGTCATATTGTCAAAAAGTATTTTTTGTGTCTTTACCTCTTAATGGTTTGTTATGTTTTGAGCCAGAAAAAAATACATAGAAAATATGAGTTCTTTGTAAATTTGGCCACATACAAAGACAAAACAGTAACAGCAAAAAAACCCCACTTGTTTTTATTTAAATATCAAGTACACATTAAGCTTCATGATATTTATGATTGAAATCGGGGATTCTGTGATAATTTCTCTTTAGAAATGAATATAAATCTTCCATTATAAAATAAATACTTAGAATTGTATAATTACTGTATTTTAATAAGTAGTATTAGTAAATGTTATAATAGTATTTTTTGTACAATTGCAATTGTATGTAATTGTATATTTCTGCCAAATTTATAGATTGTAACATTATATAATTATATTCTATAAATGTATTACTATATAGTTACATCGATAATCTTAAGAACATTCCATTAAAAGTTTTTGTAAATTCTGTTTTTATTTTCAGCTTGACAAAAATCGTACCACTTTTTCATTTTGTTTCTTTGGGAAAACTAGATGTCAGCAACAACTGTCTTTCTGGTAAGTTTATAATAGTATGTAATTGTTTTTTAAGTAATAGACTTTTGAGTTTCTGTTCCAAATATGGTAAGGAGTTGTTTTGGGTAGATGCGTTAATGGCATTTACAAATAATATATTTATACAATAAGGTATAGAGGAGAAAAAAATTCTCTCTACCTTCTCAGGCTAGGCCTAAGAATTAAACTGACATAAGTCAAATAAACAAAGGAAAAGAATACCAGTTTTAATTGCTTTTTTTTTTTACATGTATATGAGAGTTCTCCTACGAAGAATAAAGACCCTAAGCAGCAGTTGGAGTTGAACAAGTTGAACAAAGAGTAGTTAATTGTGAAAAGGCACATGATGAGGCAGAGGGCCTTGGGCTAATGTAGTTAACTGGTTGGAAGAGTGACTAGGAAAGAAAGGCTAGTTTAAGAAGTTTGTTTACACTTCTCTTGGCCTAGATTTCCTGGCCTTGTGATTAGAATGTCTCTTTGCTTCTGGAATAGTGCAAACATCTTTCACGTGAGAACTTAATCTGCTTTTAGGAAAAAGAAGGAAAGTCATAGTGTTTTTTAATTTGCTCCTCTTTAAGTGCCTTCAACTCCAAATAGTCAATATGCCAGGATGGCATATGAGGGTGCCATGTGTCCTAAACTCTTCCTAATGCATAGTGAAATAATCCAATTAAAAATTTCTTTCTACTTTTAAAATCATATTACTTCCTTCTAGTAAACCTGGGAAAATGTCACAATTCTATTTTTATTTAAAATTTATGTAGCTTTTACCTATGAATGACTAGCCTAATGAAGATAAGTAAACAAACGTGTCTAACTTGTTGACCTTTAACAGGTATAGAGGAGATATCCATTAAAAATTTATTAAATTAAAGAATGATGAACTGATTTGGGTAAATAGTCCCTCCCCCTAAATTTCCACATCCCCTTTTTAAGTGAGTCCCTTCATACAGACAATTGGAGTTCTAAATTTATCATTGTAGGTTAAATTTGACTGTTCTACATCTTGATATTAATGAGATCAAACTATGTGTTTTTTTTTAATCTAGGTTTCTTTGCTTGGCATTCATGTGACATTCCACTATATCAGTTGATCAGTTGTTTGTATCAGCAGTCTGTTCTTTTTTTTTTTTTCCTGAAGCATAGTCCATTGTATGTATATGTCACAATTTGGCTATTCTCCTGTTGATCAGTATTTTAATTGTTTGCAGTTTGGGGCTACTATGATTATAAAGTTCCTAGGGAAATTCCTCTGTAAGTAGTTTTGTAAATATACGTTTTCAGTTCTTTTGAATAAATGTGTAAGAATGTAATTGCTGGATAATAGAGTAGGTGTATGTTTAACTTTATAAGAAACTGAAAAAACTGTTTGCCAAAGTAGTTGTAATGTTTTACTTCCCCACCAGTGATATATGAGAGTTCCATTCTGTAGGTGTGTAGTATTTCGTTGTGTTATCTCATTATGGCTTTAGTTTGCATTTTTCTGATGAAAAGTGCTATTGAACCTCTTTGCATGCATAGATAATTTCTGTTTATTCTTTTGTGTCTTTTCAGGTGTCTGATCATTTATAAATTTGGTCATTTGCCTCTTATTGATTTGTATAAATTTTTTATATATTCTGGATGAAATTCTTTGTCAGATACATGTTTTGTAAAAGTTTTCTCCCAACCCTCTTTTACCTATTTATTTTATTAATGATATCTTTATATGAGCAGAAGCTTTAAATTCTGGTGAAACTTATTTTTTTTAATGGTTTTTGCTCTTTGTGTCCTTTGTAATATTTTTTAACCTTCTGATTGAGAAGGTGATTTTCTACACTTTCTTGCTTTCTTATGGAAATCTTATACTTTTAGTTTTTACCTTTAGGTCTATGATTCATCTCAAATTAGTTTTTATGAGAAGTATAAAGTAGAGGATGAGTTCAGTTTTTAATATGGTTATTTAGTTGTTCCCACAACATTTGTTGAACAAACTGTTTTCATCATGGAATGACTTTGTGGTGTCTTTGTCCAAAATTGATTTACATTTGGCCTACTTTGGGATGTGTTCCTATTAACTGCTTTTCTCTTAATGAGTCATATTTGCCTATTTCTATTTATGTCCAATAATTTTAAACTGTATGTTGAACATTGTACATAAAATGGTTTACTGAGTCTGACTGTTGTCTTCCTTTTAAACGGTGTTAAGTGTAATTCTGACAGACAGTTAAAAAAGAATTGATGGATAATTTCATTTGTCAGCCTTAATTTAATTCTCTCCAAGGACAAGTCATTTTGTTTTTCAACTCTTAGTGCATGCCCCTACCCCAGGGCATTGTCTTTACTCCTAGGGCTGAAACCCTAGTGTCTTTCACTGATGCATGAACTCTGCTGTCATCATTCAGCTCTTAGCCCTACAGCAGGTTATCTCTGCTAGGTTTTTCAGAGTATTGCCCTGCCTGTGTAACACCTAGCAGTTGTCCAAGGACCTGCGGTACATACTCACATAGACTTCTTCCCCAGCTCCATCCCCACAATGCATACACACACAGCTTCTTCTCAGTACTTTTCACCATGAATTCCAGTTTCAGGTCTAAACTTTGCCTCTTCACTCGACAAAACAGCCTCTTTTGCTTGGTCTCCACTTTCTTACTCTAAAGTGGTACAATGCTTTTAGGCAGAAAGCCATTGTGATTGTCAGCTCACCATGTGTTTTTCCCTTCTGTCAGAGTCCGGCTTAAAAACAGGTGCTTCATATATATTGTCCAGTTTTATGATCATTTTCTGTGGGAGAGCAGTTCCAGAATAAATTACTCTGTAATGTACCCTAGATTGACCTACTATTTTTACTTTTGAAAGTAAAAATGTAATTTATTTAGGTTTATGTTCAGTTTTACCACTGTCTTAATTACTTTTGATTTTACTTTTATAGATTTTATGTTTATAATCTGGCACAAACTGTTTTACACACATTATCTCATTTAATCCTCACCCTAAGAGATAGATTTGAAACTGAATCATCAAGCAGTTGTGTGATTTGCATAAATTCACACAGCTGCTAAGTGGTAGAAATATGTATTTTGACGGCAGAGTCTGTGTCCTAAATATGACCTCCTTTTAAAGGCATATCATCATACGTCTATAGGATAAGTGTTTCATTGCTTTTCTTTAATAAGCTAACCAACAAACAAAATGATCATTGATTTATGATTGTTTTTCTTTACCTGTAATACCATTCATAATAATTTTTATTATTTGTTTCCTATAGATCTTACAAGTGCCATAACGTGGTTTGAGGCATGCTTTTCTCTCCAGGAACTGTCTCTCACTGGAAACCCACTTCTTCAAGAAATAAACTGGCGGTAAAGAAGCATTGTTGTACCCTAAGTACATACTTTATTATAGTTGCCGAGAACGTAATTTGATAAAAATTGTTCTGTGTGTACTAATTGGTTGGGAAACATTAATTAAAAAATAATTTAAAAGTTATTCGAAACAATGGTTTTGTAAAAATAGTTTAAGAAAATCTTCTGCCTAAAATAATTGTTTATACATATATGAACTAATGCAAATTTGAAATGACAGTTTGATCCATACCATTGATGATGTGACAATTTTAGTATGATGTTAACTTAGGTTTTATATTTACAGAAAAGCGGTTTTTTGGGAATTACTTTTTGAGTCATTTAGATCCCATAGCGTGCTATTTAAAATTATTTCCTTTCTGCCAGTAAGATGATTTTGTTTTATTTTCCTACAAGAGAAATTTAGTGTCTGTTAAAGTAGACACTATAAGCATATATGAATTCATGCCTCTCTTTGGAATGCACCTAGATATAAATGAAGAAAAGTATTTTCCGATTTTTTTAAATGAATTTTACTTTTGAGAAAAGTTTCTCTAATCTGAATATCTCATATTATGCTAACACTATTTTCTCCAAGTTGACCCTCACCTTTTTTTGTAATCAGATTTTTTTAGATAATTTACATATGATAAACTTAATCAGTGTTGTTTATGAGTACACATATTGTGTAAAAATCACCATAGTCAAGATATTGAACATTTTTATCACCTCAGAAAATTACTTCATGCCCCTTTGCAGTTGGTTCTCTCTTTCCCAGTACTTTAAAACCGTCTCTCTGCTCTCTCATGGCCTTCATTGTTTCTGATGAGAAATCTCTGGACATTCTTTCTTCATTCCTCTGTCTCTCGATTCTTTTAAGGTGTTGTCTTTATCAGTGGTTTTCAGCAATTTGATTATAATGTGCCTTGGTGTGGTTTTATACAGATGTACTCTTGTTAGGATTGACTGAACCTCTTGGATACAGTGGATTTATAGTTGCCATAGTATTTAGAAAAATTTTGGCCATTATTTTTTCAAATATTTTTTCTGCCTCCTTTCTGTCTCATCCTACTAGGACTCTACCTTCACCAGTATTATACCACTTGATATATTCCAGAAGTCACTATTGCTCTGTTCTTATATTTACTGCTCTTTTTTCTGCCTATATTTCAGTCTTAACTAGTTATTGCTGTGCGTTGAAGTCCTCTGGTATTTTCTTCTTTTGTGTCTATGCTCCTGTTAATCCCATCTAGACTGCTTCAGTTCAGATCAGATATTGTGATTTTCATTTCTAGACGTTTCCTTTATTTTGTAACATTTTTCTCCTAATCATGCTCATATTTTCCTGAACTATCTTGAACATATGGATAATATTTATAATAGCTGTTTTAACATCCTTGTCAGTTAGTTTCATTATCTTTATCATTTTGAGGTCTATCTTTTTTTTATTTTTTTCTGATTCTGGGTCATACTTTTCTGCTTCTTGGATACCTGGACAATTTTGGTTGTATTCTGGACATTTACAATTTCATATTGTTGATTTCTTAATTTGGTTTCTTTCTCCTTTAAATAACATCTATTTTACTTCTGACTTGCAGCAGCTAAGTTACTTGGAATTAATGAGACACTTTCAAAGCTTGCTTTTAAGTTCTGTTATGGACATCCCAAAGAATTTTTAGACTAATACTAATTTAGCCCCACTACTAAGACACCAATTTTCTGAGTATTCTGCCTGATGTCTCTTATGTGTATCTTGTACCCTTTCAACTTTGGCTAATGAGAATTATTCTTATCTCCTTGTGGATTCCTGTAATTTTTCTGCCTTTTTGCTTTCCACTTCTTTCCCTTGACTTTAAGTGGTTTTTCTCACACATCCTCAGATCATTACTCATTTACTGGGGCCAGGTTAGAATCATCCCAGGGTACTGAAACACTTTGCATATGTCCACTTTGGAGTTTTCTGGTCCTGGTGATGATTCTGGCCTGAACTCTTATCTCTCTTTATGTCCTGCAGCATGCATCTGTTAGATGTTTTAACATGACTTATTGTACATTTGACATTTGTATTGTATCAGGTCAATGATACATCAAGGCAAAACAATCCAGGGCTTATAGCCTAATTTAGCAAGGTGGGTTTGGCAACACACTAAATGTAGAGAAAGGCAAACATTTACTAAAATTCAGGTAGGAAAATCTGTTTCAGGATCATCAGTTTGGATCAAGTCAGCAAGTCTTATCAATTTGATCAAGTAATGAAAATACATATATGAACAAAATACAGACAAGGAGAAATGATTAATTGAAAAAAAGGTTTCAATTCTTCCCTGATCCTAGGGAAGAAGCAGTTGACTCTTTGCCCTGATTTGGTTTCTGTGATGTGTGGCCATAGCTGTGAAGACCCTTGTTCTTCTGATGACTTCAGAGGAATATATCTTACATAGAACCAGTGATCTGATTATGTTTAAAATTCCTACATCTGACTTAATCTGCCTGTAGAAAAAGATAAGAGAATCAGGGAGTAGTCTCTGTTCCCTCCCTCTGAGGCTGCTGAAAACTTCTGACATCGTCTTTCTAGACGTATTGGTTTCCTGAATTAGTTCATTGGCTTTTGATTAAGAAGATAGCTGCATTTTTACACCAAGTCAAACACCTGTGTGCTTTGCTACTCATTGACAGCTTGAGTATCGCAGAAGAGTTATCATCTTTTCCAGAAAATCTGTTTTTCTTTCTTTTTTCCTGAAAGCTCAGTTGCCACATAAATTTCTAATGTTACACTGTTTTTTAGGGAAACTTGGTATGTTTCCACATGTTTTAGGACAGAACTTGTCAACTTCTAGTTTGGAAACATCTGTTTCCAAGTGCAGTTTAAGCTGTGTAGCATTGAAGAGTGTAACCCAGTGCTGTGGTTCTTAAAGGTGTTCCCCAAACCAGCAGCTTCATCACCTGGAAACCTGTTAGAAATGCAAAATCTTGCACACTGTCTGGACCCACTGAATTAGAAACTAGAGGCTGATTCCCAGTAATCTGTGTTTTAACAAGCCCTTTGGGTAATTCACTGTGCACTGAAACTTGGAAATCACTGTTTTTAAACATGGACATCTTCCTTCTGCCCCATATTGTGTGATCCTGGCCAAGTAACTTTCTATGGCTCTGAATCTTCATTGGTAAAATGAGGATAATAATAGCACCTATCTTATGGGATAGTCATTAGATTTGAATGGGATAATGCACATATTTTGTTGAGAACAATTCCTGGACATGGTAAACATAAAAAAATCCATGATTTTCTCTTACTAGGCCAACCAGAGTATATATGGGTTCTTATTCAATCAGCAAGTATTTAGTGTATATCATGTGGCCTAACATGTTGGACATTATAAAGGAAATTCAATGTAACCCATGATTTCAGGCTATTTTTATAACCTTGTTACAGATAGAAAATGTACGCAAAAATTGATAACCATGAAAACTATAGCAGATACTGATACAACATTTACTTTGCACCCAGCAATGCTCTCATTTAATCCTCACAATATGCCTAATGAAATAGCTACCTAGTGTCCCCATTTTATAGTTCAGGAAACTGAGTTACAAAAACGACTAGATAACCTCCCAGTTTCCCACAGCCAGCAAGTAGAAGAGCCAGGATTCAAATCCCAGTCTAGCTCCAGAGTCTGTGCTCTTGGATTTTAGTACCTAATAAAATATAAGTGTCAGATGATTATTGTAGGCAACAGATATGCTTTAGAAATTTGGAAATATTACCTTAATTTAGTGTGACCAGGAAAAACTGCCTGTGTTGAAGAGACAAACTTTGAGTTAAACCTCAAAAGTTTGGTAAGGTTGAAGATCAAACTAAAACAAACAAACAAAACGCACTTCTGACGGAGGAAATATCCAAAACATGGAGGGAATGTGAAAGGCGCGATTGGGCTCTGTTAGAAGGCCTGTCTCTTCAGGGCAGTGGGTATAGTGGGAAAAAACATTGAAAAGAAATAAGAAATCAAGTGCTTACACTTAGAGTGTGTCAGAGTAGACTAGGTACCTGTACATATTACTTCACGTCACAGCATCTGAGTTGGCTTCTGTATTTATCTTTCTCATCTTACAGATGTATTTATTGCAGCTTAGATACCTTGTTATTTGCCCTGTTATGAAGTGAGTCGATGTCAGGGGTGGGATCGGAGTTCTGAAGCCTGGAATTTCAACATTGTGCTCTGCTGTTTCTCCTGATATATTATTGCCAGACTCTCAAGGGTTTTGCATGCTAGGATAAATATGTCTTTTATCCTGTGGTCATGGAGAAGGGACCATAGCATAGTGAGTATATACATAGATCTTGTGAGTAAACTGCTAGGTGTACATCTAGTTCTACCACTTCCTAGCTATCTGCTTGCTCAAGTTACTTGATGTTGCTATGTCTGTTTCTCACCAGTAAATTGGGCATCATAATAGTACCCATATCATAGAATGTATTCATCAGGGTAACATAGGTTATGCTACACAACAACAAACTCAGAAATCTTATGGTTTAATGCAGTAGTTTATTTTTTGTTTACATTACATCAGATGTGAGTTTGGCCTGTCTAATCTAAGCACACGCAGAAATTCAGGCTGCTCCAGTTTTGTGGCTCTGTGTCATATAACTTCAATGTAGCCTGACTTTTTTAGGTAGTAGACTGTGGTGGGGGAAAAGACCACCAGCAAAGCACAACTGACATTTTATCACTCTGCCCTCAAGAGTGGCAGTGACCACAGATACTCCATTGGCTGTAACTAGTCACACAGCCAAACCAACTGCAGAAGAAGCTGGGAAACAGAGAAGAACCTGGGTGTCGGAGCACAGAAACAGTCTCTGGGAGGAGTAAGTGTGTTACCACGTGGAAGCACTTCATAGTAGTTCCTAGAAAATAGCACACTCAATAAATGTGAGCCATGATTTTTAAGAAGCTGTAGAGAAAATTTGAATAGTTGTGTGAAAAGGAAAGTAGTGTTTGGGAAAGCTTGTTTTTAGTGGA